CACTCACCCACGCACACACACACACACATCAACACTAGTGCAGCCAAGGAGCGGATGTCCAAGCCCCAAACCCCTAAACCCTACCTAACCCCTATAAACCCAAAAGCCCCGCGGTGGGCGGACGGGATTGGATTGGGCTTAGAGGTTGTGGCCGAGTTGCGGCCTTTGCCAGGCCGTCCGCGCACTTTGCCCTGTCCTGACAATAACAAAAATGCCCGGAGGCAATGGCCCGCCTGTCGAAATTTGTTAGATCGCGCCGGTGAATTTTGTCATAATCGCCGCGGGCCTGCCAAAAGCAACAGCATCACACTCTAAAGCCTAAACCCCAAAACCCTTAAACCCCCAAACCCTGAAACCCAAACCCTAAACCCTAAACCTCAAACTCTAAACCCTAAACCCCAAACTCTAAACCCTAAACCCGAAGGGCTTGAGGGCTTCTGAGCTCTGGGGTTTGGGGGTTTAGGGTTCCATTATGTAGCTAGAGTTATTAGAGATATTACTCCTAGACCGATACCCTGAACCCTCAAACCCAAATCCCTGAAACGTTAGCCTGAGCCCCACAATTCAACCCCAGAGCTAAACACACAGACCATTGCACTTAGAATAAGAACAAGGCTCAACCCTAAACCATAAACCCTGAACCCAACTGTTCTGTAAACCCTGAACCCTGAACCCTAGACCCTGAACAAACCCTAAACTCAAACCCTAGGAGCGACCGGACGAGCCTTGTCTCGGGCCCCTCCCTTTTCCTTAGCTGTGTCGGTGCTGGGGGGGTGGATTGGGCTTAGAGGTTGTGGCCGAGTTGCGGCCTTTGCCAGGCCGTCCGCGCACCTTGCCCTTTCCTGACAAAAACAAAAAGCCCGGAGGCAATGGGTCGCCGCCTGTCGGAATATAATCGCACCGGTAGATTTGTTTTCATTCGGCCGGCGGCGGCGTCCTGCCAAAAGCAAACGCATAAGTCACAGGCTCGTCAGTGAGGGGTTTAGGCGTTGAGGGTTTAGGGGTTTTTGGGTTTAGGGTTTCGGTCCAAAGATTTTTTCGAGCGCACCGGTAAATTTGGTCATAATCGCCGCGGGCCTGCCAAAAGCAAAAGTGTCAGACTCTAATGCCGAAACCTCAAAACCCTTAAACCCCCAAACCCTAAATCCAAACCTTAAACACCAAACTCTGAACCCTAAACCCCAAGCTCTAAACCCTAAACCGAAAACTCCAGGTTTCGGTTTGTGGGGTTTTAGGGTTTAAGGTTTAGGGTTTACGGTTTCGGTTTGAGGTTTAGGGTTTAGGGTTTGCTGTTTTGGGTTTGGGGTTTGCCGTTGAAGTGGGTGTTGAACTCCAAAATCCCAAGTTTTGGTGAACCATGACAAACTCCAAAATAGTACTTCTATCTCCTGCGAACGCGTATCCCTGCCTAAGTTGGCCCCTGAGTTATCCTAGTTCTATCCGTGAGTACTTCGTACTGATTGTATTACCTTCTTGCGAAGTACCCCGAGCCTCCAAGTAAAGCCACTCCAAGGCAACAGGGGGTGGTCCAAGCAGGGAATGGTAAGGGCTGCGAGGCGTTTTCTGAGTTCTTGCTAGGGAACTATCACACCGACTGCAGCATAGCGTTGATTATCACTGAATATGGACCCCCGTTGTGAGTCCTCCATGAAACCAAGCTCCTAAACACGGTTTTTTTGATGAACCTTCGCCTCATGGTACTTGGGCTCATGAAGCCGATATGACGCTGGAAGTCTTCCATCACTGCGTTGCCAAGGAGATCCTCATGCCGCTACTCTTTGTGTGCAGCCGTGCAAGCGACAGCTACAGGAAAGAAAAGGAACCCCTCTCTTAGCAGCAGAAGTATACTCGAAGATCCCAGGCTCGGCAACTCTCCATCTCGGGAGGTGTCTGTAGATAGGGAAACTTTGCCTATACAAGCGCGCAAGATACAGGTCTCCGGAAGACTTCGAGGTATGCTCCCATGCTTGGTTCAGCACCATGTCACTGCGCCGGAACCGGGAGAAGGCAGTAGGTGTCTCTGCAGAGCGAGCGCAGGCAGCACGGTAGGTGAAAGCCCAAGGGTGTTCAGGTGACCATTGAATGTCATAAGACGAGAACTGCTCTTTGCCTCTAATGCTCGAAGCCAGAGATGGTGGGAACCTGCACGGCTTTCGCAGAAGTTGGCCCTCTTTGTTGTGGCATGGGTTCCTGGTGCACTGACATGTCGATGATATCTAAGGTTGAGTTTAGAAAACCCGCACGTTCAATTCCTTGTACCTGGCAGGTCTGCTAGCAACAGGATGTTGAGTGATACTTGATCAGAGGAATGACGAACGAGTTCTGACGTTCATGCGAGACCCGAACGAATCATGTGTTTCAACCTGTACGCCTGTACTGATTGGTATATCTGGCTGCAACTCTACAGGTTGTGTGTAGATAACCACGCACGGTAAAGAAACCTCAGCGACCGACTGGATTCTTCAAAAGGGCCTAGGGCTGTATTGTAAGATGCAGTCAGCCGCCTAGCTAGCATAGGTCAGGAAAGCTCGTATCAAGGATCCGGTACGCATCGAGCGTCTTCACAGGTCTCAGCACACTTCGAAGAACAGCTTGTATTTGCTAAAGAAGTATTATTCACTGTGGTCTGAAGAAGTAGGCAAGAGATGTCGTACCTGCCGAACAGACAAGACGGTTTGCGGGGAAAGCAAAGCACAGCAAGAGCACAGAATAAAGGTTGGAACGTAGCAACTACCCACGTGCACCCCGAAAGCATCGACCACATAGCAGCAAGGCAACGCTGGCCAAGCAGGCTCTGACGAGAAGGCCACTGGTTTTCGCACAGCTGCAGCCACAATCGCATGAAGCTTCCGACACCTCAAGGTTTCGGGGTTGAGGGGCTAAGGTTCCGGATTCAGGCGTGGAGCATAGGAAAAAACTGCAACTCACGGTAGTGACATCACCCACCAGAACTTGAGTTGAACTCACCTACATGTCCCTGCCCTTGTCGACCTCGTCAAAAGAGTCGGTGCGGTCGGTTCGATCACCTTGTCAGCTTCTGGCAGTTTTCGGGGGCAGGAAGGGTCGCCAGAAAGGCCCATAACGCGAACCCTGCATGCAAACACTTCATCCCAACTTCCGGCGCCTTGCTGTTCGCACAGCGACGGAGATTAGCATCCCAGGACATACCCGGCTCGCAGCCGCAAGCATCCCGGAAGCTGGCGCCCAAGCAACAGCCTTCTCTGAGGACATATCTCTGGCGAGGGCTTGGCTTTCGTTTTCTTTTAGTTGCCTCTTGGAAGGCATGGGAAAATTAGTCATCGAAGGTGAAGATGCAACGACTTGGGATCCCGGCATGGGCGAGTGCTTAGGTCTCGCTTGAGAATGCCATACATAGAACGTCGTCTACGCTGTTTATCATGCTAGCGTCATCCAACCGTCCGATCGGATTATTGCTCCGGCTTCTTGTGGAGCAGCATGAGCTATGGAGCTCGTCAGCGGAAGCACCGGCTAAGACTTCACAACAACAAAATTGCGTACCATCCAATGCAAACGCGGTCGGACAGGGGGCGCTCGTAGTTGTAGCCGTTGTAGTCCCAGCAGCTGGCATCCCCGATGCCATGCCATCCCAGGCAGCAGAGCTCCCATGTGAAGCTGACACCCGGCGCGAAGCAATCGCTTGGGATGCCGTGCATGAGAGCAGCCGGCACTAAAGGACGACCTGGAATATCGGAACTGATTGCATAAGCAAATCCCCTCAGACTAAGACAAGAAGTGCCACATTTCGAAAGACCGCCTGGCCGCCTAGAAGAGAAGCTCAGCACCAGCAGGATGCACAACTAGCAGTATGCATAACTTTCTATGCGACTCAAGGGCATGTCAGCATGTTGATCCAAACCTGGCTTGATCCACCCTTCCCACCACGCGATGCATGGATGATTAATCGGCACCAAAGTTGCAACCACCTCATTCCTTCATCAGCCTTAGGATTAGGATCTCTCCCTTCCGCAATCAATCTGACAACCTAAATTCAACCAAGCGAAGGACTTCCAAGACACTCACAGCCACCAGCTACAATATAACATTATGGTCCGTTCCTTGCACTGTATTTATGGTACTGTTGGATGCTCTAGTATCTTGCAGTATACTATGCTACACTTGCAGTAATAGTCTACCGACCTGGCGCTTGCAAAAACAGACATGGCCAGAGCGAACCTCGGATTCCAGGAGACCTCGCACCGCAAAGCGTGGAGGTGTCATCGTGCCCTGGGCAACGGGGACTCTAAACCTCTTGGTACCTCTACAAAGGATCCGCATAAGAAGGATCTTAGACCTGCTGTGCTCTACATTTGTGTCTCCTTCAATCCTGAAACTCGCCAGTGATTTGCTGAGTGCTGGCGAATCGTGCTTCGTGTTTGCCGGGTTATACCGGCACAGAGATCCCAACTCGTACCGAAAAAGGCTGCCAAAGGTTGGATGAGAAGGAGAAGCCCGATCATCTTCCAACCCTCCTGCCCACATTGTTCAACTGCCGCCCAGAGGCTGCGTTACGTGTCGGAGCTGCTCCTTCTCCGACGGTGCCCGGCTCCTAAGCCATGACTTAGAAAGAAGCTTTCGTTCGACAAACTACATAAGGTTCTGGGATCACATCTCAGACTTCACGGCTCTTGAGGGTGATACAAACGATAGTCCTCCTCAAGGCTTTAGGGCTTCGGAAACACATTGTATAACTCACAGAAATGCCACAAGCACATTTGGGATCCTCGAGCTTTTCCTGAAGCGGATCTTGACACAAGTGAACCTGTCTGCACCTCATGTGCCGTCTCCGTTTCTGGGCTTGGTGGAACCCGGCAGCCCCGTGGCCGTGCATGTCACCCGTGTTGAGTTTTTCCAGTTTGACTTGCCGTAGCTTAATTTACCAAACATATCCAGCAGTAGGAGAGCCGGCTGAATCTCCTCTCCTGAGACTTCAACCCCGCATCAGGGTCTCCATGACTTGCGGTAGATCGCTTGTGGCCGTGTCTCACGACTCTGTTGAAAGATGTTGACTGTGGAGAGTCTGTAGTTTAGCCTTCTAGCATAACACGGTCGTCCATAGCTGTAAGAAGCCAAGAGCGCGACATCGCTTGTTGCGAGCGTCTCTGCTGATGTTGCGGATCCCTCAGCAGCAGGAAAGGTGACAAACGGGTGCTTTCGACGGTGTTGTAGTTGTCGTCATGCTGTGGCCAGGAAGGCTGAGGTAGCAGCAGCAGCAGCAGCAGCAGCAGCAGCAGGAGCAGCAGCAGCAGCAGCAGCAGCATGAGCACAGGTGATTGCGGTAGTAGGAGGAACAGGAACAGGAGAGTAGCAGCAGCAGCAGCAGCAGCAGCAGCAGCAGCAGCAGCTGCAGCAGCAGCAGCAGCAGCAGTAGTAGGAATAATAATAATAATGATAATAATAATAATAGTAATAGTAATAAAAATAGTAATAATACTAGTAGTAGTAGTAGTAGTAGTAGTAGCAGAAGTAGTCGTAGTGGTAATAGCAGTAGCAGTAGCAGTAGTAGTAGTCGTCGTCGTAGCAGTAGTAGTGGTGGTGGTAGCAGCAGTGGTCGTCGTCGTTGTAATAGTAGTAGTAGTAGTAGTAGTAGTAGTAGTAGGA